AGCATTCTTCCTCATTTGTAAAACCCGTTTGGAAGGTTCAATTAGTTTAAACTTTTCGTTAATTTATAGAGAATGTTTCGTTCGCTTCTTTTATTGCTACTGGCAACAAGCAGTCATTTTTAATATCCATTCTTAATATGGGGAAAAGTGTCCTACTTTTGTGTAAATTTGATCTGTCATATTGAGTATTGGGGGAAATTAGGGGTCGTTTCTATATACGTATATCATATGTACCATCCACTCCGCTTCCTCCATATGCTAGGGGTTAAACACCAACAGCTTGGAATGAGGACTGAATTCCATGAGCAAACGAACCCTATAATTGTAAACATTGATTTATAACACTTTCCGTGCTTCACAGAACCTTCCTACCTGTATCTACCGTCTGTGTCATTTTCCCACAAGGAATGTTTACGTCCAGAAATTCACCTATGGATATTCAGTTAGACCACCAGCAGAAATTGTAACGAGTTAGTTACATTTACAAGGGTCGAAGACCTCACCTGCGTAAACAGAATTGAGCCTCTACGGCAATGGCAAGAAATTTTAAAATGACAATTCATTTCTAATTTACCCACGGCTAGCTCAGTAATACATGTTTATACCCCTTACCTGGCGGAAGTTTGGCCTTTTATCTCCTCTTTAAACCGGAAATTCAAAATATAATGGTCTGGTTTGATCGAACTCGAATAAATACTCACAACCAAAGGGATTGTATCATTGAAATTAATTGCAATTTTCCAATCAATGAAGCAAAATATCCAAAACCCTTTGTTTGAATCTAAAATCTAAAATTAACCACGTGGCTAATATTATTTTCTGGTAGCAATTATCTTATCTCTCCTTAGAAAATGCCGCTTCCTTTATAAATATGGAAACAGATCTCTTCGATGGTACAGTTGAATTTTTTGCATGACCCTGGTAACGTAACGGCGGAAGAAAAGTTCGTATGAATCGCGAATCCAAGCAAACCGACTTCAATTTCGCGAAGGTAAAGGTCGTGATTATGCAAAAGAACAAAATGTCATTGCTCCTTTGTGTTGATATTAATTTTGTCCAATTTATTAACTAGGTGGTGACGATTCATTTCCTTTAAATTCCCTGCCGTATGCCGTTGTATACAAAATTCCAGATTTTTTAGATTTTACTCAATAAATTCACGTTTTGGATCTTGAAATTGCAGCACGAATCTTCACACATACGCGAGGATATTTCTGACAACGAAGTAAAAAGATGGCGACGCGAATCAGTTAGGATGCTCGCTGTCTCACTTCTGTCGCTGGTTAAAAGTTCTGAAACGGTATCTATTTTCTGAATACAAAGACCTCGACTAGCGTATCTTTTTAAACGAATAGTAAACCTGAATGTTTGTGACGTGTTCGACTTTAAACAGAACAGAACAAAACGGAAAGATCGTGACAACCGCGCTCGTTTTCCCCAATACGGTTATTGTTATCGCCTGTTATCGCCAGACATACTTTTGTTCATGTTCGGTATAAAGCGGTATATGTGTACTCCTACGTTTAACAAAATACCAATTCAAAATGGAAATTGCTAGATAGACAACAACAAAAATCGCTAGTTTTCAAATTTTTCCAAAGCACAGAACACGGTTAGTACGCTGCATTAAAAAAAATTGCAGTAGGCTTGTTCTCTATTTTCGCATGCACTGTATTTTCTCAAAACCCGCCACATAAGCAACCAGCTAGCGGATGATGATGTATAACAGGGCATTTGACACTCCACAGCTGTTAGCTCGCAGAGCACATAAAAACACCCTCGTGTCTTACAAAGAGGTGAGCTCCACTCTGGTTATTTTAATGATCATAACTTCCTAACTTCCTTGAATGAAACTGGGAAGTTTAAAACAAAGCGACAAAATACAATTGCCCGCAACAAAATGGCCCAGCAATTTGTTTATAATTAAATAAATTCTCAAAAATTCAACAATAATTACTAGTCAACTATTAACCCTAATTTACAGGTCTGGGGTGGATCGCACCCCACAGTCACTTTCAATGTCCATAAGTTTTTTTTCTTTCAATATTTTGGCCTGGGAGCTCGAGTACCTTCCAAGTTTAGTCTTTTCTATCGTTTTTGGCGTTCTTAAGATTTTAGTTTTTATTTTATCACTACTTTTAGAAAATCTTTCAAGTTTACAGGTCTGGGGTGGATCGCACCCCACAGCCACTTTCAATGTCCATAAGTTTTTTTTCTTTCAATATTTTGGCCTGGGGTTCGTTTCACCCCACGCCCGTAAACTTGAAAGTTTTAGTGACCAGTAAACTAGGGTCTTGACATCTCAACTTAATTTATGCTGTATTTGGTTCAAATACGACTTTACAACCAAACAAAAATGGCGCCGATGGTGGAAATACAAGCTTCGATAAAATATAATGAATGTTTTACCTTTTAATAAAGAAATAGCCCAGCAATTTCACTCTAAAACAGAATGAAACAAAGAACCCGAGCTAAACCACTAGGAATGACGATGGCTTGTTGAGCCCAAAATACTTGTACAATTCTGATCCATTATCGACTGCTTTAATTACGTGTAGTTACGAGTCACTTATTTTATAATACCAACGAAATTAATTAGATCATCGATCAATAGGTTAGTGAAGCTAACACTCGTTAATAATTCGCCAAATTTAAAGAAATTAACATTAGTATCATCCCTTGAAGGGGAATTATCCATTAATTAAAAACTTGATTCAATGAAGAAGGTTAACCCAGGTGACCCAATCTCGTTATGCTCGCTCCAATCGCTGTTTGTTGCAGATATCTCAGAAAGGGTCTGTCTTTATACGCACGGCTACATTCTCCATATTTATATGCCGGACAGGTCAAAATGGAATTAAAAAAGTATCGAGGAGAGGAAATTATGAATGAAATTATAAACTGAAATTTAAAAAAAACATGTAAAGAAACCACATGTCAAATCCCTTCGAAGTCGAATACAAAAATTTAACCTACCTCCTATTAATAAGAGGGGTGTTCACAAAGGTATAATGCTATTAATACAGCAACGGTTAAATGGCAAGATCCTAAAAAGCACACAGGCCATAATACGGTGATTAAAGAATAGATGGACCCACTTACGTATCCACGTTAAATTCAAATTATAGTCTCCAATATGAGAGAAAAGTGTCTCTCGATCCAAACCAATTCGAGATATCGCCAAATCCGGTAAATCACTCGAGATAGTGGTTAAAAAATTGTGCGTAAAGCCTGCGCATTAAAAATGATGCACGAATTAGAGCACTTTAAGCCAAATCACCTACGATAGCAGTGGTCCTCAATCAAAAATTACAGTGATACTCAACCAATACCCGAATTTTTACCCGAAATCGTCACGAAACCTTCATTTTCATGCCTACTTTCTGTCCGGAAATTTTAGTTTCCATGACAGAGACAGAGCAGACTATACGTTTCCTGCCGCTTGTCACCTTACTGGCCGCACCGTCACTTTATCCGTTACACCTGTGACATTGCTAAATATCTATAGTGACTCCTGCCATCACTGACAGATTGTCATTAATCAAAAGTTACGAGTATACGAGTATATAAAAATTGAAGTTTTATATTAAAATACGATTTCGGGTAAAATTTAATACAAAACTCGTCAGTAAAATGACTCGGAAATTAAAGTACACTCGGTCCCAAAGGGGCCCCGTACTTCAACATTTGCTCCCCAATAATGTGTCATTTTCTTGACTTTTAGTATGTAAATAACTATTTCCATGGTAATGATAAGGATTATATTGTACCCTTTCATTTTCTTTTCCTATGAGTTTAATTTACATCCCCAATAAAGTAGAGGTATATTGTAGACGTACAAATGTAGAGAATTGTTAGCTTGTGGATGTCCATCCCTAAATATACGTAAATACATAAACTCTAGTCTGTTACTGCACCTCAATTTGAACACCCCTAAATGATCTATTAACTATGGAAGGTACAATAGTTTCCATCAAAGATGACTTCACGTGACAGTTTGTGAACCAATTTCAAGAGAATTTTTTATCTGATGGCAACATATGTATATGCGAAAAACAGGTGGGAACAATTTGAAAGTTAAAAATTGCTACACAAACTAGTGACTTAAAGGTGGTCTTTGGTGCAAACGGTGCTTCTATAAATATTTGCTGAAAAAGTGTGTTGGGAAAGTGTCTTCAAAATTCCTATAGGTACCTCAAGGTCATATAACAAAAGTGAATATCTGACGATCTTTAAACATGAAAATAATGAGAGCTGACAAACCAATATGGCCAAAACGAGCACAGTTCAGACGCAAATTTGAATAGTGATCAGAAATATTCGTTCTAAGCACTAAGTTGTAACCTACCACTGTCAATTTCGACGGACACAACTGAACGAGGAACACAAATCAGAACAAACCGAACATAAATACCCATGTAAATTTTACTCGATTAGAACATAGGCATCAAGTCGTAACCCCAGACTGAAAACCCCCAACCTTTGTTAGAATATTGACGCACAAGGAGCAGAACCTTTGGAACAAATCCCCACAAATTAATGTGCTAAGAACTTTTCGGTTCTTTTATTTGGGGAAATATCTTAATACAGGTGGGGAATCGGGGACAAATTGCTTGGAACGAAAAAGCGTCACGTGTCTACAGCGATAAATACAAAAATTAGATCCCCCCATTTCCTAAATCGAGCATGTTTTCCAAACTGAAGAGTGCTTGCATTTCTGTAACATTTTCATGTGGTGGGTCAATACACAATAGCCCAGTGTAACTAGAGAAATTAATCGTTTGTTATACTTTTTCCTACGATTACTCTCGTTATCTACAAACCCACTCCACTTTAATCTCAATCCCGCTAATGAAATGCTAATCAAATCTACGTCATCGTTCTGCGTCCTTAGGCGAAACTATAATGTTGTTTAAATCAGGTTAATGCCTTAACTGAGAATAATGGAGGTAGTAACAATGGTATTGTCATTTTACAATAATTATTTTAACTATTTCCAGCATCTACAACGACGAATGAACCTTCCACGACCGTACTATCAGCTAAAGGAGAACTCGAAGAGATTATAAAAAAGGCGGAGGACATGTCTGGAATACCCGACTGGGGTATTGTCACGATAGTTATAGGTATACAGATGAAAAGTATAAACAACGTACCTAACTAAAGTTAATCTTTCAGTTGTTGCCGCGATAATCATCGGAATATGCTTTTGCTGCATTAGGCGATGTTTCCGAAAGAGACGCGCAAAAGGCGATAAGAAAGGTATGAAGGGGGTCGATTTAAAATCGGTACAACTACTCGGATCTTCCTACAAAGAAAAGGTATACCCGACTTAAGTTCACAAAGGTTTGTACTACATTGAGGTTTCAGGTTCAACCGGATATGGACGAATTAACCGAAAACGCCGAGGAGCCCGACGAAGGCGAGAAACCCGTCGAACAAAAGCTGGGAAAATTGCAGTACAAGGTAACGTTCGTCATTCAAATTTCGAGAAATCTAACGGGTACGTTCTACAGCTTGAATACGACTTCAATCAGAATTCGTTATCGGTAACGGTCATTCAGGCCGAAGAACTTCCTGCACTTGATATGGGCGGCACATCCGACCCATACGTCAAAGTCTACCTGCTTCCAGATAAGAAAAAGAAATTCGAAACTAAAGTACATAGAAAAACGTTAAATCCAGTCTTCAACGAGACTTTCGTCTTCAAAGTAAGTGTTTGTCGTAGTTGTCTTGTGCTTAAACTAGGTAACCACGGTGACTATTTGGGTGGAGAAATCGATACACGAATGGGGAGAAAGCGATGTTTCTTGTCAGCAGTTGGCGATTAACCACGTACATTTATTTGTGGTCGAATCGTTATCAGACACGTTTAGAATTAATTTTCCTTGTACGTTGTATCATCATAAGGTATTTCGGTTTAAGTCGACCAATGCGGGCGAACTACCTACACAAGAAAAATCCTCGTTTATAAACGCCTTTTATTTATGCAGGAACTCTACGGTTTAAAATGAATATTACGCCTAATGTGGAGGTAAAATGGTTTGCTCAATTAAGTGTTAATGGCCCATCTTTAGTGTCGCTCATCCACACCTTTAAGATAAATGATCCTCTCTAGTATAAATGGAGCGGATATTTGTTATGTAATGTAGTACATAAAGGAGGAAGGTTTGAAGCATGGGCTGTTAAATTTGATATACAGGTTCATAAAGATAAATAATTAAAGAGCTTGTAAAACAAACGATTTAATTTGGTATTAGTTTTACTTTTATTCAAGGTACCTATATAAAAAATTTTATTTAAAAATCTCAACAAATAAAAAAATTGGATTGCGCATGCGCAAATTTTTTAATTCTTCTGCATAGTTGCTTGACGTTTAAGGAATATTTACTAAAACAGAAAACCGGATATGTTCTTTGTAACAAGAACTACAAAATAACCCTATTTGTTGAAGGTTTGGTCAGTTTTTGGGCTGTATGTTTTTGGCCTGTTAGCCTACGGAGCTGAAGAATAATAGCGACCTTTCTTGTATGCATGCGTACCAATTTTCAAAGCGATTCGAGGTTTCTAAACAAAGTTATCATGCACACGGATAGACAGACCGACAGACAGACAGCCAGCCAGACAGACAGCCTGATAAACAGACAATACAAATTTATAAACTATCTCGTTCCCGAGGATCGTTAATAACCGGCAAAAGTGTAAAATTATGGTACATGAAAAAATTGATTATTACTATAACTTTCTTAGTTTTGCACCAAAATAGCGTAATGGGCACACAAATGGGTAGAAACGTGGACAGTTTATTGATTGCATAAAATGTTAAGGCCCCTTGGTTCACACTTGAAATGTGCGGTACATAATATAAGAAGGACCAAAGTCCCTGGGAAAATGCTCTGCAATATTTAGTTTCTCTTTTGCAAGTACCTTTCTTCTTTTAATATGTTCACACTTAAAACTTTGACCGCACCAATAGATATGTCTCGTCCAGAGGTTCCAATCGCCTTTTGGGAGTACCTCCTCCGACACTCCGTGGTTGGTAGAAATTGATTCCTTTTGGTGATACCTTTCATTAGAACACTTACACCCCCCCCCCTCCTCCATGAATTTCAAAGGTTCTATTGGGCACCCATACGCATGCAATATGAGGCCTTCGGACAACAAAGTTGAAGGTCGACTGCCTTCAACGTGTAGGGTGTAGGCCTCTCTTGTAAAAAATATCACGTGTCCAGGACAGTTCAAAACCATAGAAGTGTATCTGGAGTAGTCGGGCTGTCGGACTAACAGCAAACAATAACGCTCTTATTATTTAAGAAAAAGGGCACTAAAAAGCATATAATCATAATAAAAATAATACTAACTGCGATGAGCACACAAAACCACCATGAAAAACAAGAAAAACTTTCAAAGCGCCCTCTAGCAGTAATTTGCGTAAGCATCTTTTACAGTAACTAACCTCGTAACAAGACACAAACACAGCGGCACGTAAGAAGCACTTCTCGAAGCACTTTTGCAAACAGACTCTTTACGGATCAAGGAATACGGAGACGAATCTATCTAAAATTAGGGGTAAAATTACAATTTCTAGAATTAGGTTTGTGCTTCTGTGTGATAATATATCTCCGTCCGCCCCTACCTGCATTTGTCTAAAATGTTGCCAATAAAGTAATTTTAAATCTCGAACGGGAGGCAGTGAAATTACACCTTTGATCTTCACAGTATACGCATGTCTAATAAAGTTCTTGGCAGAAGCAAATATACGGCTATAAAAAAAATCATAAATAAATAAACACCATGCGACTGGCCGAATGACAAATAGTCCAAGTCAAAAAAAAAATCTTGTGAGATTGCAGATACTATTATTTTAAGAACGGTCACAGTTACAGCTGTATGAAGGTGTTGGTTCCAAGTTCTCGGAGATAATAAGCAATAAATTTTATCTTAATTACTGTTACTAAAAAAACACAAAAGCAAGTGTAGGTCATCTCCTGCATTGTGAGAATGCAAATTCCGCGGAAAATTCAGAGCGTGAGTTCTCTAGGAACAGCTCAACGAGCATGTCTTTCAGGTGGTAGTCGATTCCACGGTGACTTTGAAAGTTTCTGCACTCTCTAATTTCAGGGTCAATGACCTATTTTGGATTTGTTTTTTTGAAGGACTTATCACCCCTCTTTGACTTTTCCTTTTACATTTACTGATTGGCTTTTAAAACACAAGTGAACTTAATTTGTTGACACCATTTCGAAAAGCGTTAATTCGTTCAAAAGAAAATAGGTAGGGATTAATCCGGAAAAAACCATTCGCAAAGATGTAGTTTTTTTATCGATTTTCCAGTTCTAAATGATTTTAGTCAGTGAGAGTGTGTATGTGATGGGTTTAAATTTATCAGTAGTATAATAAGTAGGATTTGTTTTTAAATAAGGTTAAGTGTATCCGTAAATTTTCATGGCCATTTAAATAAAAATTAAAAAAATAATTGTAAATTTAGTAATGCCTAAATCATGTAAGGTTATTCGTTGAGTATCATAAATTTTGGAACGCATAAATAAGAGAATATTAATTGTAATGTCGACGTAACATAAAAGTCCTATCTGGGCAGACAAATTAATTGACTGTATTTACTAACAAGACCATGCGGAAAATAACGAAGCGGTGTTTCGGGGCTCACCAGGAAACTACGATATTGAACGTATGAGCATTGAATATCCAGAGGAGTTGGATATTCAATGGTATGAGTGAAAGTGGCTACGAAGAAAAAGATAAAAAAATAAGATAAATTTATTACAAGCAACTGATAGTGATGTTAGGTAATAAAAAATCTTGTAACCCGAGCAGCCATCATAATTATTGGTTAACTTCATTCAACAGTTCATTGGATTATCCAGTTTATGTGTTAAACAAAATCGTTTTCAACGATACCAAGAGTTCATTCATAGTTGTGTATCCATTCCATATCTCTTAAGATACTAACCGTCGTAGTCGTTCGTCTAACCGCCGTCAGCTGCGACGCGGGCGGCCCGTGTTCGATTCTCGGCCAATGTAGAAGTTTTTTAGTTCTATCTGATCATCAACGTAGGACATAGGGGCGGGTATTTCTGATTAAATTTGTAACTGGCATGTTTTTCAGTTTGTAAGTAGGTGGGTATAGATTTGGGGAAAATGCAGCTAAACCCTCGCTCTTCTTGAGTCACGATTCACGAACCCTTCTGCCGTGCCGCAAGGCTTAAGTTTTAGATTGGAGAAAGGTGGGATGTGGAACAGAAAACCGTAACAACACTATATTCCACTTTAAAACATAGAATCGCAACGACATCCATTTGAAGAGGGCGTTTTTAAAGTTATTTACAATTGCACCCTTTGGCAAATTCAAGAATTTACGGTTAAACACTTCCGATTTAAACCCAAAGCACTGTTTGAGTTTTAATGCGTCAGTGCAAAATGAATTCCATTTAAAAAGACGTTCTTGTGCATCTTGAGAAGGACGCTCTACTTACTGAGAGTAAAAACGCCACTAAGGGCAAAGATGACAAATTCAATTTGTTGATTAATCAATGAAATAGAAGTAAAGTTTCCACTCCAAAATATGGGAGTAATTCCTAAGACTTGAATATAAAACCCTAAAGCATTGTTTATTAAATGAATAAACCAGAGAATTGCCATAAGTGATTATAATTCTATGGAGTAAACACAGCCTAAAGCATGTGGTTTCTCATCAATTACACATCTACTCTTTTCAGTAAAAATGCTCCGGGATTGTATTCCTTCCATGTAAGCGAAGCAAATATTTACAATGAGTTAAACGTGCGGAATAAATCATCTTCTAAAAGCAAACCGGAGGTTAAATTTAATTCATGCGACTTTGCAAATAATAAAGGAATAATTGAGGTAGAAATACCACAAGACGCTGGGAAGGGCGATCTGGAGGAGGCAAAAGAAGGATGTTATCGCGTTACTAAGCAGCTCCGAATTTTCTTTTCTCATATAATAGGATATTGATTTTATGCAGATCCCTCCACGACATCTACTTGATATGTACGAAATAGAGAAAAAAATCGAATAACTCTGCGAAGTGCACATATTTGAAGAGAGGCGTTTGTAAAATTGTGCGAATATGGTGGTACGTGTATCTAACAAAGCATAAATTTACGCAAAGGTGTACTTTCAATATTCTCTCTGGAAGCGGGTATAAATCATTACGATTTACGCTTCCTTTGTGAAATAAAAAAAAGTTTGCGCAATTTCTTGTCGTCTGTATATGGAGTATCTAAAAATGCATCTCAAGAGAATAAGCTCCTTATTTAAAAAATGTATAATAGTACAGTATTTAAACTGGATCAAATCCTTCAATTTTCATTCACAACCACTTCGTCTTCCTGTACCATTTACATTTAATAGAGTGGAACACAAAACTAATACCTACCCTAACGATTGGTAATTACCTTTAATTGAAATTTGAACTAGAGTTTTAGATTACGTGGAATCCACGATTACCTAAACACGTCACAAAATGAGTTATTCTAATTGAGCTTGCAAAACTAAAATGAAGACCGAAGTCGTACAAACGTCGAAAATTTAAATCCCCAAGGAATAATAGGCGTGCATTTAAGGTGATGATTTAATTAATTATTTGCAGTGGAAATAACGTAATGAAGTTGTAAGTTCCTTATTAGGTTAACCCGTTTTTATTAGCCAAATCGTCCTTTTGGATTATTGATTGCTGTATGTCCATTAGTAAGTGACAATCGTTTCTCTACCAAAGGTGTATATATTGTCTAATTACTGCAAAAATGATCTGATTTTTCTCATGGTTCAAAATTAAATGCTGTGGGTCCCTTGTTTATCGTGCCGCGCTGCTATGTGCTTTCACCATATGGACTAATATACCCACAGTTACAGTTGTCAGTTAATGTTTATTAGCAAGTGAAAGCTTAAGCTGTGCATTCGTCAATGGGGTCAAAACTTTTAGGCGTATCTCGGAAACCAAAATGTCGCAAGGGGATACTCTCCAAGTAAAAATAGTATAGTTCTGGACGACACGGGACACGGGAGTTTTGTTGAAAAAATCTTAACCCAAAACATTATAAATCAGCATATGTATGATGAAAGCGCATTTTCGGTAATGCAGATCAGTATTTCATTAGCAAAGTTTAAAATTATCGATCTCACGAGTAATCTAACTCAAAATAGACTAGAGCCCGCACATCTACACTAACATCAGAAAGCTTTTAGTGAAAATTTAAAGTCTTTAGCTATTGTAATTGCTGAGATCTTAGCCGGACAGCCAACCAGCCAGCCATAACGAATATAATAGTGTATTTTTTTTCCAAAAATGCACTAAAAATGATCAAAATTCTCGTATGAGATCGAAGGGACTTCAGCGCATTTTTATGTTGCAGATCAGTGTTTTATTAGGCAGTGCTGACGCCACCATCAATAAGATCTTGTCGAAGGCTACCACATTCACTTGCTTGATACCCGCTGGCCCACTTCCCGGGTACATGCATCGCGTTTAAAGTTTTGACTCCACCATCAATAAGATCTTGTCGAAGGATTCCCTTTGTCGGTACCCATGTCCGACGTCCCGTTCACCCGTCCTTCGAGTTTGAAGTTTTAACTCCACCATCAGTAAGATCTTGTTGGGAGCAACCGTATTCCCTTTGCCGGTGCCCACTTCCGACGCCCCATTCACCCGCAATTCGCGTGCGAAGTTTTGACTCCGCACCATCAGTAAGGTCTCGTCGGGGGTTTTGGTGGATTTCGCTAAAACCCGACGCAAAATAGTATTCAATTTTTGGGTACTTCTCATAGCCCCAGCTTCTATTGGCGACACGAGAAAGAGAGATCGCGATTCGAGCTCTAAGAAATTTGGGCGTCCAAAGTTAGCTACCCCTCGAAGCGCGCCATGCAAAAGGTGGTTCATTTCGCCCCTTAGGAAAAAAAACAAAATTCCGCAGGAGTTGTGCGCGTTGACAAGATCTTTCCGACGACATCAAATTGAAAACAATCGGAGAAAAACTGTAGAAGAAGATAGAAAAAAAGAAAGATCTCTAGGTTAGTATAACACGCTCGGGGATGGCGTCCAGATGTCGCCCATTCCCTAAAGTTGTTAATTACACGACCCCGATAGGTACATGGACACTCTTCGTCTTTTTACAAGCGTTCTTCTACGGGCTCGCATTTACTGCCAGCCAGCCAGCCAGTCAAAGTGAGATTAAAAGCTACCCTTTTACAAATAAATTTGCAAAAATGCGCTAAAAATATATATTGTCGCCGATTTCATAATTATACTCTTCAATTTTATCGGTTATCGTGTCCACAGTCGGACGAACGGGCGGACAGAAGGTCCAAAATTATAAACTCGCTTTTTGTCGCTCGTTAATAAGCCAAATAATTAGCTCATTCCGCATATACCGCATATTTGGGAACGCCCTGTATATTTATTTATTTATTTATTTATTTATTTATTTATATATTTATTTATTTATTTATTTATTTATTTATTTATTTATTTATTTATTTATTTATTTATTTATTTATTTATTTATTTATTTATTTATTTATTTATTCATTTACAGCTCTAAAATTTGCGCTAGGTTTGACGAACACATCGATTGCTTTTGGAAGTCATCGAATGCAAAGGTAGAGGGCTGTTTTTTACAAAATCTATAATGGCGCAAGCTGGCGCTAGAGGAACAGAACCCAAAATGACCAAACTTTGCTCAAAATCTGCAAAATCTAGCTATAATGGCGTCAGATCAACCCAAATTGACGCTAGCTATCACCAGCCATTGCCGTAATCGGTTCTCTCATTCTCAAGATATCCAACTAACGGACAGACGGACGGACATCGTAAAATTATGAACTTGCTAGGTGCTCATCCCACTATTCGCCACTGAAAATGACTTCAAGCAGACACAAAAACTAGATTTACACACAAAATTTAATTGTATTTATTTTCACAAACAATGTTTAAATCGCGCACTCGGCTTGCCCAAGTTATACAAGACTCTATATTTACTGCTTTTGTGAACATACTTGACAAAATTTAAAAACAAATACATACCCCTTAAATCGAAAATTAAACCATATCTTTTCTCAATACTATTGCCTGTGTGGCGCAGTTCAGTTGAAGCTAGACTGTGGTGCTAGGGTCCCTGGTTCGAATCCGGGTTCGGGCATGGATATTTGTAAATGTATAGTGGGTTGGGTTGGTAGAGCAGCCTTGGCTGAAACCCCGCCCAATCAAAAATAAAGGCTAAATAAATAAATAAATTAATTAATTAAATCTGACGCCGAAACAGATTAATGTTATATCAAACAACGAACACAAATGAAGCTCCGTACAATAAATCTGTGAAGGACAATTTTCATTTGAAAAAAATAGTTTTTTCGGAAAAAAAAGGGATATTTTGAAAACCTCTTAATTTTATATTGAAAAAATTGTAGCTATTTGAACCATAAAAGAGTATATTTCAACCAGTATCGTTAAAAGAAAATCATTTTTGCAGCAATTAATAAAAAACAAAAAAAAACGGGTTTCCGCGATATTTTCGACTACTATGAGACAGTGACTGACTGTGGAAAGAAAGTTGTAGAGTTTTTCAAGATTTATTTTATTTATTGTTTATTAAAATTATTATTATTATTTTATTTTATTAATTACTTTTGTCTCTGACCTCAACTTTTGCCGGAAAGTGCCGTCATACGATTTTCACCCTCCGCAAAACTTAGACCCTCTCCCCTGCTCACGTATTTATTTTTTTTTGTATTTATTATAGACCATTTTAACATATCCACTTGACAAAGCTCCATTAACAATTTTCTTTTTTTTTTGCCTAAAGTATAAAAGCTTTATATCTGTCCACTATTTTTAAAAATAAATGGGAAGTTTTGAAAAAAACGAATTGTTGCGTTCTTGATCTGTCCGAAGGCTATTTAAGTTCAAAAGTCATTTACAGAAAGGAATCAACTCATACTCGGAAAATAATTATCAAAATGTACATCCGTAATATCCAAAATGGTCCGTAATATCCAAGGTATAATTTTTTAAATGCCGATCACAAAAAATATAAGTATTCATTAAAATGTATTAATTTGAATTCAGGTGGGCACTCTCTGCCAATAATCTGCAATTAAATAAAAACAAAAGAGAGGGAGTGAAAGCGCGGCATATAAATACGAGACAAATTAACGTTTGGGACGTCGGGAACTCAAAAAAATCATAATTCACATCCAACGGAAAGCAATAATTCAATTTACGTTAGATATCAAAAGCAAAATTTTGCCTCGATACCAGTTGTCGGTACAAATCGGCAATATACAAGGTACCCGTTTTTCGAGCTCCAACATGGGGATCTTGGTTATTTGAAGAGATGCAATGTAGTTTAAATTGGGACAAACTTGCGAATTTTGGTACCCACTACGAAAATTTCAATTTAAAATTTTTGAGGGGTGCTTATACTTTTTTCGAAGTTAACAATTTCATCTTCTTTAAATAATTCAAAAACAAGAAGGTGGTACTGCAATGGACTTTTTTTGTGAAAATGAGGTCGAAATTTGGAATCAAATAAAAATGTCGTTATTCAACACTGTTGATGAAAATATCCGAGTATTGCATATAATTAATTAACAACAAGAATTTAATTACAACTGTATATAGAACCATCGCTTTCATCGCGTTGCCTTAGATTATTATAATTGTCCGTAGTTAACTACTGAATCATTTGTTAAAAAAGCATGTAAAAATGATTTCTGTGTATGTAGACCATACGCCCAGTGTAAATTGCATCAAATTGATGCAAACAATTAATTTTGGTTGCGTGCCACACGCTATGCGCTCATAAATTTTGCATTCTCGTACAGCACAATTGAATTGAATAAATGCGACTAAATATAGTAATCGCGCAATTACCTAAATGGTATTTTTTTGCAAATTTAGGGAATACCGTACGCGGAGGCGATGAATAAAACCCTGGTGTTTGCCATTTTCGACTTCGATCGTTTCTCCAAGCACGACCAGATCGGCGAAGTGAAGGTTCCTCTTTGCCAAATCGATTTAGCACAAACGATAGAAGAGTGGCGCGAGCTGCAGAGCGTCGAAGGAGAAGGTGGTCAGGTGATATCACATATCATTCTACTTTATAGATTTATAGTCTGGTCAATGCTTCAATCGGAACGTTGGCGACACCCAGTTCGGACCACTGGATGGTCAAGCAAGTGTATAATTTCTTACTTACTTCAATAAACGTGCGGTTTTTAGAACGCGACAACGCAGAGAATGTAGATACTTTTCCTTTTTTTACTACTTATATTACATTTGAAGTAGTTTATACTCAGCCTAACTCCAAATTATTTATATTTGCATTGAACACAGTAAAAATTATTCTACATTAAATATGCACATTTCTTTGAGTTTTTGCATAATAATTTTTTGGTAGAGATCTTTACAAGGGAGGACTGTGTCCTTCCAATTTTTTGGAGTTGTTAAGTTTTGCAGGATCTGCCCGAAGGAAGCAAAGTTGATCGAGACTATATTTGAATCAACTCAAAGCAGTGGACTTTAATTGACGTAAATTATTTTTTCTCTTTTCCCTAATTTCTCTGCTCTGCTTTGGTATGGCTGTGCTATGGTTGTGCCGGCCGCGCATGCATGATGCTTCCAATCAATCAAACTCGTTCACGTAAGTATTATTTTGTTAAATAATCGAACATTTTATATCAAGTCAAACGGTAATTCCGCATCAGTGATTGCTCTGAGTGTTTGACTTTATATCAAAATGGGAAAATCCAGATAAATCTAACGCGGTATCAGCAGCCATCGTCAACTGCTTGGATCGGTAGCTGCTGGTACCACAGTGTATAATTATTGGTAACTTTTATTAGTAACTTTTGCTTCTCATATTTCTGGAAAGCACAGTTTTTGATAATTTTGATCACTATATTAGGAGTTTTGAGGAACTGCTAGTTCTTCAAAGCTTCTAAGAGGTTATTTCGACAGTTGGTAGACATTAGGCTAAAAACTGTATGAGGTATTTGGTAAAAATATTAAGAAAAACTTCTCTCCAACTAAGAAAAGTACTGGTCTCATTTCTCTACTCTAGCATTAACGTAGATAGTTGTATTTTTAAATTTCGAATTTATTATATACAGTATTTCTAGTCTTTCCTTTGTAATTTCTTGCCCTATTTCCCCACTTTCTGCATGTTTCCCTCCTTTTGTTGGCGTTTGCATTTGGCTGGTGAATGTTTTCAAATTCCTTTTTTAATGTCTTCCGAAAAAGATAAATAGATGTTAGTCAGTACATGCATTTGCAGAAAATGTTAAGGTATCAAAAATAGTTTACAACAGTTTTCGCATGCCAGCACCATAGTTAGATCAAACAGCACAGTACATAAAGTAAAAACTTCTGTATGTAGTTTTGTATTCTAATGTTTATTAAATGGAGTCACCGATGTCTACTTAAGGTACATTTATCTTTACTTATATGATTTTTTTCGAGAATACATTCTTCAAGTTAAAGCTTTGATAATTTCTCATACAAATCTACACAACAATTTTAAGACATTGTCAATTCTACAACACTCGCTGGATTCTTTTTAGAGTAATTTAATTAAACTAGGAGTGCACATTAGTCTATTGCTGTACTGTGTTATAGTTAATCGGAATCAAACTATAGAAAACGCTGGTTTGAGCTGGGTGTTAGTGAAAATTTACTGCTCCAATAGAGAGACTACGAACCTACTACAATAAAATGGAAGATATAAGACTAATTAGAATCACATGTATCCAAAGTCGAGCGTTAACCATCAAGTTGGCAGTGTACCTTCCCCAGTTTGATAAAATCACTCACTTTGCTCTGACTTGATAGTCAACGTGAGAACCGCTTTTAGTTTAAATATATATTTGCTAATATGTATGTCTCCCTTCCAAATTTAGATGTTGTATCCACCCTCCTGACATAGATGTCTCTTCTTTTCAACCCCTCTTACACCAAACTTCCCAAATGACACTTCTATCAAGCTTGACCACACTATTCTTTGATTGCGCATGCTAAAATTCAATCCCGACCTGAAGAAAGTGTTGTCTAAATGTTTCCTTAAGGTGTTCTACACTGTCTTATTCGTTCTTGCAAAATTCAATAACTATGTAGCGCACAAAACGAACTGTCGATCTAAATAAGCATGGCAAACAACAGATTACTGTGATTGAGCGTTAAAACTATTCCCGATAAGTTCACTCCATCGTCGGCTATTACAGGATAACAAGTTGGGAGATATTTGCTTCTCCTTACGCTACGTTCCGACAGCTGGGAAGCTGACCGTTGTTATATTGGAGGCTAAGAATCTGAAAAAGATGGACGTCGGCGGGTTATCCGGTGAGTTCTCGGATCCAAACGAATCCCTTAATAAATAATTGCATCTTCTTAGATCCTTACGTAAAAATAGCACTGATGCAGAACGGCAAGCGGCTTAAGAAGAAGAAAACGAGTATTAAGAAGTGCACGTTGAATCCTTATTACAATGAATCCTTTACGTTTGAAGTGCCATTCGAACAGATACAAGTAATGCTGCTTCAGTTGCTCATTTTTGTGATATGTTTAATTCTGTTATTTTAGAAAGTAAACTTAGTGGTAACAGTGGTAGATTACGATAGAATTGGTACGTCTGAACCTATTGGTAAAGTGGTTTTGGGTTACAATGCGAGCGGGACGGAATTACGTCATTGGTCAGATATGCTGGCATCTCCTCGCCGACCAATCGCTCAGTGGCACACTCTCAAAGATCCGGAAGATGAAAAGAAGGACTAAACAACGCTCTTATTCTAAGGTATTTTGTTCCTATTGTTGTATCATTCCAAAGGCAAAAAATTCTGCAAAAGATATGACCCCCAGCAGACCGCGTAATCTAGCAACGTATCGGTGTTCGTTCCCAAAGGATCCGGAGTCCTTTTTCGCGGGATTGACCTACTGCGCGTAATTACCGAGTAAAAAATCAGTTCTGTTAATTAATAGCCAGACCTCGTAATGTAATAGTAGTAGACCAATTTTATTAATGATCTAACCCTCGACTTGTAATCCAAACTTACCCCTTCAATTAATTACCGAATCATGCAATTCAAATTAGACTACCCCATAAAATTCTACAGTTCTGATTAAATTGAAATTGTTTTATTCTAAAAGTGATTATTTAGACAATGACTAAAATTCTTAAAAGGAATAAAAATGACACGTGACGTACATACAACTGCTATTTGCCTTATAGGCACTCTGATCATTTTTAACGCATTTTTTATTAATTAAAAAAAAAGTGTTATTGTTTGCGTTTTGTCCGTCCGTCCGGATCCACTTCTGCCTTTTCGAACTACTTCTAGGGGGATGGTCCTAGGGTCCTGGAATTTTGTGCAGTAGGTAAGCCTGTACCTTGAAGGTGTGGTAGACGACCATCAAATTTCGCTGTCTAAAAGGGGACCCCCCACGAATTATTTCCGGGGGGGGGGTAATTTTATCTCTCATTGTATTCTAATTAAAGGTTTCAACGAAAGGAACCATTTTTTCCCAACTTTCTGTCTTCTGTCTGGGAGAGTGGAACTAGTTTTATCCTTCATGGTACTCTAATGAAAGGTCTCAACGAAAGGAATTAATTTCTACCAACCATAGACCTGCTCCTCGACCTCTTATCGTGATCGAGTATATTCCCTTATACCTCAAGAACTGATTGTCGGAAGAGGGTACTCGCAAAGGGCGATTGAGACGTCTGTAAGAAATATATCCATTGGTGAAGTTAAAAGAAAACCTATTTCGATGAAAAAAAAATGCGCTTGATCTGCACAAGAGTTGTGCACAATTTAGACTAGTTACATTTTCTTTTCATTTCAACACTTCCTCCAAAAGATAGAAAAAAACAAAACACTCACTTTCTCTCCATTTTAATCTGCTGCTCGCCAATCCGCTCGCACCACATTTCGGATCGAACCTTTTTCAACGGTTTCGTAAGTAAATCAGCCAACTGATTATTCCCATTTGATGTGTTCCAGCTTAAGATGTCCATTCAGATATCTTTTACTAACGTAACACGCTTGGTTAACATCACAGCACTACCATTATCAATCTCGAGAGTAGGGAGTTGATCCTGATCTCCAATTTCCATTATTTCAGATTACTAACTTTTGAACCACATTAATTCCTTCGCTCCTTCACTTGCTGAGATCCGTTCTGCTTCCATGGTGGATGCTGACAGTGTTGACACCAATTTTTGTAATTACCGGTTCACGACACGGCTTCTTGATTGAGAGTTGCGATGACACCTGTCGTTGATCCTGTCGTGTCCTTGTGGCCTGCGTAGTCGGCATCACCGTAGGCCTTCAAATCTTCTTTGTTTTTTTAGACAATTCCGTAATTTATTGTCTTCTTTAAATACGTTAAAATACGTTTCACTTGGCGAGTGACTTTGTTGGATGCAAAAGCAATGTCCCGCTTCGGGATATGGGACTTTAGATGCGATTTCCAATTAGAGTAGATATTCCATTCGAATCTATCACTCCAAATCTTTCTAAGACTGCCCTCGTACAATTTTCTTGATTTATTGATATCGGTCCGTCTTTACTTTGCTGTATCTTCATGTCCAGGTAATTGTTTAGAGATCCTTTTGTTGCAACATTTCAATGAACTCATTTCTGCCCTGTTGCTACCTAGAACGAAGCCATCTTCGACGTAGATGGCAATATAGACATATTCTTCTTTTTCAAGGAGACAGGCGGAAGCCATTGTCAGATCGAGTAGTGAAGTATGCTTCTCCTTAACGAAGGTGGGGATCTTCCCATGAGTGGCAATTTTCAAATCATGCGCCACTATCCATTTCAATAGTATTTTCCCTCTCTTGCACGATCCCCAAGCCTCTGAAACCGCGTTAAAGTCTCCGATTATGATTACTTTTCTCATCCTTATTTCACGTACTTTTCTCCCGATTTCGTCAAGTTTTGCTATATAGCAAATGCTCGGGCAACTTTTGGTGAGACGTAGACACTAAACACTATATCCCTACCTCTGTGTATCGACAAAACCGGAGGACCTTTAGTGGCACCTAAGGTCTAGTATTCAGATGTAATGTCGATTATCACAAACTCACAAATTCCTCAATGCGTCGCAGCACGGTTAACTAATCTCGTTGGCTTCTGTGCTTTTTCTGCCGCCCTAATTGCGGCTTTGAACTGTGGGCTCGCAATTGTCCATGGTATAGCACTCCACATAGTTTTATGCGTTTTGGCATTTCACTTTGTAGTGAGGGCCACTAGCCACCACAATTTAGGAATCCCTTTTTAACTATGCGTTCACTGGTGGACTTTCCCTATCTGCGGTGAACCCCCCAGCATTTCTTGCATTTGTTTATTTCTACCCATTTTATCGCATTTTCCAACTAAGTTGGCTATTGCAGCCACTTTCTCTGCCCGTCCGTCTGCCCGAGGCCTTAACTACTCCTACAGTTTTCAAGATATTAACTTCGTTCTTTTTGCATTCGGTAGCTTATAGCTCTAGCACCTGAGCCAAGGAAAATATTGACAATTAAACTGCGCATGCGCAGACTGAGCAATGTCAACTTCCTTATTTATTAATATATTATGTTAAAATTTTAACCACAGATACTTCTAGTGAAGGCAAATATATCGCATATAGTAAAAATCAGTTGTGTGCATGTGCAGACTGCTCAATGGCAACTTTCGTATTTATGCATTTTGAAATTTTACCCAAAGATGCTTTTAGTGTAGGCAAACGTATCGCATATTGTAAACATCAGATTAATGCGCAGGATGCGCAATTTCAACTGCTATTTATCGAGATATCTTTTTGAAATTTTAATCACAGATGCTTTTGTTAAAGGCAAACATAACTGATATTGCAAATTAGATGTGCGCATGCGCAGTCAGTGCCAACTTCTTTATTTATCAAGATATTTCTTTGAAATTTTAACCGTATATGCCTCTAGTAAAGAAATTCTCAGCGCACATATCTGTAGCCGTTTGAGAAGTACTGATCATTCATGGAAAATGCGTACTCACCTTAGGGCGAAAACCTTTTTACTTGTTTGATATCGCACCTAGTGATCCAAACCCATAACTTTGGTATGGTGTCAATATGCCTCTAGCTACCATAATTTCTGACAACTAAACCTCTGCTCCCCTTTCCCCACCTTGATCTCTGCATTCATTATCCCGTCCATATCTTTTATAAGTAAGTATGGATAAGTCATACGGTTATCATTTCTAATGCCTCCCCGTTTGAGAAGTACTGATCATTCATGGAAAATGCGTACTCACCTTAGGGCGAAAACCTTTTTACTTGTTTGATATCGCACCTAGTGATCCAAACCCATAACTTTGGTATGGTGTTCAAGTGCTTTTCCCACTCCTTCGGTGCCCTGACTGTGGCGGATCCCTGCCCGCTTTCGGCTACCATAATTTCTGACAACTAAACCTCTGCTCCCCTTTCCCCACCTTGATCTCTGCATTCATTATCCCGTCCATATCTTTTATAAGTAAGTAAGGATAAGTCATACGGTTATCATTTCTAATGCCTCCGATGGTTGTATGGATTGCGAAATCTGTGAATTTTTTTGGCTGACTACCACGTGCCTTTTGTCCTTGCGATCAAGTGCTTTTTACGCGCTCAATTCCGTAGGTCCGCGCGTAGGAGCTGTTATCGCCTTTGACTACAAAAGTTGCTGACTCGGAGGTTTTTCTTATACTACTGCTTCCGTCTGGATTTGGGGGTTTCCCATCAGTACAGTGGTTTACATTCATGCTATAACATAAACACTCTGCCAGTTTCCTGGTCATTTCTCTTATATGCGGAGTTTGCTATATTTTGACCCTATTCCTTTTAGCCTAGTTAATTCCTTCCATATAGTTTCGTATAAGCTCTTGGCTTTCTCTGCGTTGTCCCCTCTACCGCTGCTAGCAATAGGTACTTATCTTTCTCGTATTTCTTCTGCTTCTTGCCGTTTCATAATCGCCTCTGATTTCTTGAATGTTGCCATCCCGCCTTTATTAATCCGCCCCTTTTCGATTTTCTGTTGGAATTCCGGATGGAGTTTGCTCATTTCTTCCCTCATCTTGTCATCCTTATCGGTACCGTATAACACAATTTTGTGGTCAAGCCGTCTTTCTTCTTCTTATATCTCTCTATATCTTTTTCGGCCATTCCTATCTCACTTCCCATGCCATTTCGAAGACAACCCAACTATCAATTTTATTTTGCAACCCCTCTCTTTTAATATCTTCCGCCTCGATGATGCTTTGGCACCTGGTGCGGAAGTTTTCCTTTTCTCGTTGCCCTTTGTCCACCGTCTTCTTCTTCTCCGTAACCGTGTCTATGCCCGATGCCTTTTCAATGACTTTCAATCTCCTCCATCGGCAGTTGCGACGTCGCGATTTATGATGTACGATTTGCCCTACTGAGCAATGCACTATTTTAATTATTTTCTTCGTGTGCGATGTATTCAACTGAAGAAACAGTTGATACTGCCAATTGGTGTAATGCCGGTAACAGCAACAATATTCAAATTAATTAATATGACAGTCAGATCTTTATTTGTTTTAAGAAGTGATTTTGGTTACATAAAATTAGGCGCCCTTCAGAAGGACTTGGTCATTTAAAAGTAGACACAGCAAAAAACAATACCCTTAAATCACTGTTTAATACGTGGACTGAAATTGAACTGTAATCAATTTTTAGAAATAGACGTTATATTGTAATAATTATTTTAATGTACTATAGCTATTTATATCATTTTTCTTTTTTTTCAGAAACTCCCCGTGCTATATAGCTTCACTTTCTTTGAAGAGATAATAAAGTCTACGTATTTGTTAATAACGTGTTAAAAATTATTCCAAGTTAAACAAGTAAGCATTAAAGGTGTATTGTAAACCCCGTATGTTCCATTAATCATCATCGAATTGTGAAATAATGATGTGTGTATTTAACAACGGAACACCCTCTCAATCAACATTCTAGCATAACAACCGTGGTTCCCGTTAATACAAATATCATTATCATAATCGCATTACAGGCAATTTTACTTGCACTTGTTGTCAAAATTACTGGTACTACGTATAGTGATACTTATTGTTATGTTATAACGTTAGTGGTTTTTTTGGCTTCGCCAACGACCATTTACTGTATTATCCTCAATCCCGAAATGGCTTAATTTATGTTGTTTGTCTTTTAGAAACTTGATCGTTACCTTTTTATTGTCGTTGTGATTGTTACAGTATTTGTTAATATCTATAGCTTGTAAATTTAGTTAAGGCATCATCGATCATTTCAATGTTGCAGTTTAGAAATGCCTTCGTTTTGAGACTTCCAATTCACAAATTCTTAATAATCTTAACAACTTTATTGAATAGCAACATTATTAATGGCTAACTCGTCAATGTTAACAGTGATATTTAGAGTTTAGTCATTAGCATTTTGATAACGAAATGGAATTCATAAATATATAGATTTTTGCAATTATAGTCCTATGGCACGCACACGGTGCTTGTATTTTTAATAATCTAGATAAGCCCTTCTAATTTTTAGCAATTTTTGGCCCTTTCTAAACTGCAACCAGACATTTTATAGATAAGTAGGTAATTTATAGGCACTGTTAACAATTTCGGGGTGAATATTTCCGCGTATTTACCCTGCACTTGTACACTTTGGTCATATTTTAAGAAAACCATTGTAGTATTTTAATTTTTACAAACAAAATCGTATCAGGTAGCATCAAAGTTAGGAAATTAGGTGAAAGGAACACAGAGATTACCAAGTATCGTACACTAACCGAGTGTCATATCCATAACGTGTAAGAGCACCCAACGTGTAAAGATGTAAGTTTATCCGGATATAGAACATATGACAATAGATATTATCGATAGCTTATAGAAGTTAAAGGCCATCTTTAACATAAGATAATCTGTATAAATTGATCGGGTTTGTCTTTTGCGAAATATACGGTGGTATTTTTGCAAAGGACACTAATCATTAGGTACAGCGATTTAGAAACTTTAGATTTTTAAATAACAGATTATTTTTCAATCGCTTGTAAATCGTTTTGAATTTCATTTAAACTTGCACACATTTTTTGTTACCAACTTTAAAGACCGAGAACGCTCACTACCATATTTTTCAAGCAACCTTTAACTAGATTAGGGAGCCACATTGGGTCTTGTAACGGTCTAAAGAAGTGTTCTCTATTCGTTACCCCATATTCATTTCTACTTTAATCGCTTTTCTCTATTGATATTATTCTTCTAAATACCCTGTATGTTGTATATACTGTCTATAAAAGATGTTCAAATGTTGTGTATTATACAAAATATAAACGTATATTTACAAATACTTCACAATACATTGGATAACCCTTTCATTTTATTTTCGAATTCAAGTACTACCTAATTTTAAGTGTTCGTTTCAAAGTACGACGCATCAGTAGCGTATTTCAGTTATTTTTTTATAACTATCTGAAATTCTGCAATTGGTGTTGAAAGTGAGGCCCTTGAATGATTTAAATAATGTAGATTGCACCTGCTTGAAGATTGGCAATATAATAGGATGTGTGAATAAGTAAACAATGTACGTAAAGTTGTATAGTTTTATAGGTTTAGTTATTATTAAAAAAAACCATTAGATGGCTTTCCTAATATCTACCATAGCACATTTATTATATCTAATTTGTAATGTTATAATAATTGTTATTATAAAAGAAAGTAAGTATGATATATTGTGAAAAAAATAATAAAATGTGACAAACCTGGTCTTGTTAACAAAAAAAATAAATCATATCATATCCCGTTATAATTTTAATGCAAAAAAAACGCCCAGAATATTCATTCTGTAGAATTTAAAGCAGTCATCCTTATTCGAGCTACACTTTCTTTGCTTAACAATCGTCGCAAGCGGATTCATGTAATAAATTTCCATTTCCAACGAATGTTATTTTTTATCTTATGGTGTCATTGAAGTACTTGCGCGCTGTCGTAAAACAACCTGCAACACAAAGAACTCTGCAACATATTTTTAAATTCATCGATTGGCACCAAATTATAATGCATCAAGTTCCAATTGACAGAATCCCCCCCCATCACCACAAATACATAAAAATAGAAGAATGCATGTTTCCAAACCGTTGCAATGTTACGCCACTGGCGAAATCAAAATGTATTAAACAAAAGGTTAGCCGTATCAACCGCTTCCAGACTGGCTCGCTGCCATGATTTCAAAAGGGGGAGCAAACTCCCGTCTATTAATGTATGTAATAATACTATAAAGAAAAGATAAGTAATCGAAACCTGAACACCTGAACTGTCAGGATGTGCCATGGTATTTTTCTTTTGTGACATAAGCCAGTTTTGCGCTAGATTAACTCAACTTAACTCACATCCACTATTTGATAAATTAACAAAAGCGACGCAGAAGAAACAGTCGATTCTTTAAACGTGTAAGTAGATTAGTGGGCTCGAAGAGAGTGGAAGGAATTGATTGGTCTCAAGACGTCGTAAAGATAACGTTAAAATAACAATGGTTTTCTCTACAAAGCCTGTAATTATTCGCTATTGGTATTCAGTCCGGACCATTTTCAATTGAGGATTTCAATCATTTAGAAAATTTACCATTCGAAATATAAGTAGGATATTCGATCCAATTGTTCTCCGTGTTTTCCGTAATTTTCTTTAAATGTTATTTATTTGTATCGGGGGGCCAGAGTGTCGAAAACTCTCCGAAAAACTGATGAGGAGCTCATAATTGGAGCGGGAGACGGGACTTATGGATTCGCCGAAACGATTCTCGTTTTAAAAACGCGAAATTATACAAACTATCGACTTTATTGAAAAGAGTACAGACAAGGAATGAATTCTAAGTTATTTTACATTAATATGAAATTACAATCTATTGATCTTGTTTTCTCGTTTCCTGAGAAAAACGGTGCTGAATCCGCGGTTCTTATGGGAAACGGCTGCTTAACTCGGGAGAGGGTATTTTTATCATTATATTATATTATATAGACTATAGCTTCACAAGGTCTTCTCGCTTTTTTTATTATGACGTCTGATTTTTGAGTGTGGAAGTAATGGCCATCTAACAATACTATCTACCGCCTTAGTTACATTTACAAGGTTTGGAAACCCCACATGTCAAAGATAAATTTTATTCTCTAACACGTACAAATTTTACTGTAGCAATTAATTATTTGTAACAAAATAATAATACCACGGCTAGCTCAGTAATGAATAAATTTTCGACGACTTTATCCTTGTTTCCTATACAAAATTCCCAAAAAAATCGAATCCTATAGTTACGCAATGCACAATTTCGAAATAGCATTTATCGATGAGTCAAAATTTTTTCCAATTGGAGGGTGATTGTCTCCTTTGGAAGGGTAGCAGCAATCCGGCCTTTCGTATCACCAGATAAAATTTGGTTATTTGTTGAAAATTAATTTCGGAAGATGATTGAGTCTTTGAATGCGGAACAAACCGCGGTTCAGGTTTATTGAGATAATAGTTGAAACGTGATTTAACCTTCATGGGGGCGTGTGGGCGATAGATTACCGCCATATACATAAAAGTCCGCAAAACTTCTTCCAGGGGGACATAAGTGTGTATTCTCAAGTACAACACTATGACGTTAGATTATGTTTGAATCCGCCTTAGGTTTGATTCCCTGTAGGAACAGGAGTGAATCAAAGTTTGTAAATCGATCAATTACCGTCACGCGCCCGCCTATGCTGTAGTTGGAGACGCGCCCACATGAAGGTTAATTAATGATGACATCCCTATACATAAGAGAGGTGCACAGTATTCATTGACAAACTTATTTTTTAAAGTAACTAACCACTCCAAATATGTGCAATAAATGTTTTGCACCTTGGACCTCAACTCTTTCGGGGTAACAATCTATTTACATGAGCGTACGTTAATCCGATAATACTACGAAACGAACTTGTTCGTTTATGCTTTAAGGGGTAACATTTCGCACCATTCGCGGTTAAAAATTATATCAGCCGACCAGTCCACTCCGCTACGTAACGAAGTTCCTCCTTTTGCATAAACCAGCCACTTATTATCAACTTACTTGTAATCGCAGCCCGTTATACATATTTAAAACGCACCCGCGATACTAATTTCGTTGAAATTGGTGGCAAAATTTTTCGGTTGTGCGGCTAACCATTCTTTTATATATGTACTGCCGTTCTACGGCTTGCGATTGGAACTATTAATTGGAAACGAATCTTCACGCCATATCAAATATGGCGTGAGATGACTCACATGATTCGTCTTGTAAGCTTGGCGAAGAATTTCATTTTACGCTATCTAAAAATCGGCGGGCATAAGTTTGCCTCGAAAGTTGCCTTTCTCCGACCCGATTTTTACTTATGTACTCGCCGAGCCAGGAAGACGAAACGACTCCAACGAAAACCAAGCGTTCACTCTCTTTTATATATGTGAAAGGTATAGCAGATACACCCTGCCTCGTGCTCCGTCACGACGGTTTTTAGACTGGCAACACTGTAGAGTGTTGAGAGTTTCAACTCTTATGTGCTTATACACTCGCTTCTTATCTTAAGCCGCTTTATTTTCTCGCATATTAGTTCTGCTCTCTTCCATTATGAAGCCGAAGCGGGACACGTGTAAAATTTCCTATAGTTATAGCTTTCCTCTGACAGAAACTAAATCTGGATATTATTTAAATTGAACAATACGCAAACCTAGCTTATCCACCTTGCAAATTCGATCCGGTTGGCACTTTTTATCTTCCAGAAGTTGTTTAGAGATCAACCGGTTTATTTTACGGTCGTCTTGGGCAAACCCAGAGCTCCCGCTATGGCTTTCTACAACTTACGGACGGACGGACAAAGCGCAAACGATAGCACATTTTTTTTAATTCTTAAAAAATGAGCTAAAAATCAAGTTAGGAATAGCATTTGAAGTGCAATAAGCAAATAACAACCAAACTCAAAGTTACCCACCCTCAGTTATAAACAACTGAAGCCAATACATATTACAATAAAGCGCAAAATTACAATTACAACTAATAGTCTGGATGCCAAACTGGGATTTTTGGCTTAACCTGGAAGTGAGGTACGGTGAAGGTTTTTTGGCGGCTTTTAGTTCGTAAGGATGTCTACTTTGAGAATCCGTTTGATGCCACCTTGACGCCCTTGAGCATTTTGAGAAATTCAAGATGGCGGCCAAGTCAGCAAAAAAAAATACAAAAATTAAAGTTTTGGTGGAGTGGGGGTGTTTTTGGGGGGTTGGTTTTTATATTTTTTCAATATTAACGAGTCGTACATCGATTTATTTGTTTTTATGAATAAGAATCTCGAATTTGAGATCAAAATAGGTGCTAAAACAGAAACTCCTATTTGTTAATTATTTTTTTGGGGGGAAGCTGCTTGAGGGGGAAACTGGAGCTACTGAATAAAATAAAAAACAAACAAAAAAATAAATATATTAACTCAAACTCAAATACATTACTTACAGATATAATACATTTTTAAACAAAAAAATAACAAGCAAACAAAAAAATATTGCAGATAAACATAAATTTACACGTTGTCCGATTCTTCGCTTTTTGATTCATTTTGCGCAGTTTCCACAAATTTTGTTAGTGGATTTTTATATTTATTTTCGTCCCTTTTATCCGTCATGCATTTGCACATCAGGCTACATGACAACCCATTTGATAGACAACCTCATCTGTTCGAGCTGCAGGGGTCATTAGCTTTGCAAGAGCATTTAGCAAGCTCTAGAATAAAATCTGGTGTCGATTTAGTATTTTTGGGGACAGAAATTGGGTTTAAAATTTTGTTTTCGTCATCTTTTTCCCATCCATATTGCGTAACGTCAATTTTAGGAAGAACAAGGTTTTGGGCAGCATCCAACGATCCTAGATCTCACTTCTTCTGCCCATTTGTCTTGGCGTTTTTCGCAGGCTTTCAGAATGTTTTGATTTATGTCCAATGTTCGTACAATATAAAATTCGTTAAATCGGCTTGGGTTTTTAGGATCTTTTTCACATTTTTCGGTGCACAACAAGCAGTCTTCTCTAAAATCGAATGCACTAAATGATCGCAGATTACGCACTTCTGTTGGTTTAAATTCTTCTTGTCTCCTACTTTTTTTGAACAATCTGGCAATGTGGGTCTTGGATGTGTATGTCAACACACAAGAGCGATGACAATAAAATTCATGGATCTCTAGTCTCTGCTGGTGCTCAATCCAATTTCTCAGCATTTTATCTTCACGTTGGTAGCACGCACTAATTATTGTATGAAGTATTTGTTCACTGATTGTCATTCACTGTTCGGATTTCTCACACTAAAATATGCACTTTTTTTATGTTCACTTTTAGTTTCCATCCTGACGTTGATAGTCTTGCAAAAAGAAAAATGTGTTTTTATTTTCGAAATTATTTTAATATAAAGTAATTTCGTTCCTGAAAAAACAAATGCCGAAAAAAAAAATTTTGTATTGTAACTGTGAAAATTACTACTAACCAAAACTTTTGCTTTGATATTAGTAGTTATTTGCACAATTACACATTGGGATATGTGGGATGGGGATATTTAAGTAAGGGTATTGGAGTAAATAGTAAACTTTTTAACTCTAAATTTTGACGCTATCTTGTATATCTTTCTAGGATTTATTCAAAAATCATATGAATAGTAATCTCCACCCAAAAAAACCTATAAAAAGACGTATCGCACTTGTTATGATTATTATCTTTTTATTAAAATCAGCGCGTTTTATGTTATTTTCGGGCCGTCTGCCGGCGTCGTTCTACTTTTTTAACATTGAATAACTTGCTGTGTACCTCCATTTTGATATGGAATTCGGGATCCTTACCCATAAAAACATATAAATCGATGTTACTACACGTTAATATTGAAACAATATAAAAAAACACCCCCCACTCCACCAAAACGCCCCCAAAAATATTTTTAACTAGAAATTTAAATTCAGAAAGCTTAAAAACCCTAAAATCGATGTGCTACATGCCCATATTTTTAAAAAATTTAATTTTTGTATGTTTTGCAGATATTTTTGGGCGCCATCTTGAATTTCTCAAAATGCTCAAGGGTGACAGAGCGGCATCAATCGGATTCTTAAAATAGACCTACTTAGTGTCCTAAAACCGCAAAAAAATTTTCACCGTACCTTACTTCCAGCTTTTTCGTCTGGCTTCCAGACTATAAGCACATTACCTTTTCTTACATACAACACAAACTTGAATTATAGAAATAGAGTTCAATTGTACTGACTGAAGGCAGAAAGTAAGTCACACTACATTTTACAATGAACTTGTATTAACTTCAAACTGCACCATAAGCAAAGCTAAATCAAGACAAATCTTTCATTTATATAATGACTAACAATGTGTGAAAGTTGCTGAAATAATGTTTTGTATAGTGACCACATTGTATTGAAAGGTTAACGTTTTGTGAGCCTGTCGGTGTCTATATTTACGCCAACGGTACTCCCTGGTTGAATTTTGAAATCGAACATCCCAATTTGTGAGCGTGTCAAACGTCAAAATGTATAATAAAATAGTTGTTAAACAACACATGATAATAGAGTAAAAGCAGACGAAGCATTTCTATTATTTTTTTTCGTTTTGGATCGTGGTTCACCATGTGCGCCATATGTTCAATTAAATTTTGAGTTATCGTGCTAACAAGTCGGACAACGACAACAACGACAACGGAAACAACGACAACAACGACGACAACGGAAACAACGACAACGACAACAACGACAACAACGACAACAACGACAACAACGACAACAACGACAACAACGACAACAACGACAGCAACGACAACAACAACAACGACAACTACGATAACAACGACAATGACAACGGGCTTTTTTTCTGTGAATAAAACAATACTTTACCTACCCACATATGGGTGCGAAAAAGTCAAAACATAACTTCAGAAAGAAATAAAAACGAAATCGGCAAATTTCGGTTTTTCGGTTTTTTATCGGAAGTAATCGGAATTTGTCGGTTTTCTTTACATCATGATAACAACTGTTTAAGTGCGCAACTTTTTTTCTAATTTGACCATTCGTCGTATGTTCTATGGTTTCCGAGATCCCCATAATGGAGTACACGGAAAATGCATTTACTCCAATCAAAATTAAACCAAAAAAATTTTCCCACTTTAATGGGTTACGATAAAGTTTGATTTTCTCATTATAATTCTACACAACTTGAGTGGAGACTTCAGAAACTATAATCTATCTCATGCTTTACCGTATATTCAAGTACCTACCTTATATAATCGATAAGTATTATAAGGACCAAATAAATGTGATCTTCAGTATAAAGTGACAAGTGAGACGGTGTACAATGCCTTAATTACCATTCATTTCTCAAAACATTAAACGTTGCGGTTAAATATATCGCAAAGAAGATTGTGCGTCACGATAACATAATTAAAACTATACATTCGACTGGAGAAATGGAGATTGAAAACCAAAGCAACGTTTCACAAAAGTCAACAGTTGTGCAAGTATTGCTTTCGAATATACCTTCAGCCTTTGAGCGGTAATCAAATCTTGTACAGGTACTTTTGGGACTAATCGTAAGTTTCTCGAGCTTAGCGCCCAGTATGAGTATAGGATTTTCAGCTGTTGCCCTTCCGTATCTGACCGACGTTTCCAATGCACGGCGCTTAACAGGCGATGAAGCATCTTGGTTTGGTGAGTGTTTTTTGCTGGTCGGAATTTTCTTAAAGAAATCTTTCAGCGAGCATTGCTTCGATTGCTGCGCCACTGGGTTGCTTGTTATCGGGCCCGATTTCTGATAGATTCGGTCGAAAACCCGCAATAATCTGTGTTAACGTTGTCTGTTTTTTGGGATGGGCTATAATTACCGTCGCTTACTATTTTCCAAATCATCAGTTCTTGCTTCTCTTAATTGGACGATTATTCACCGGCTTCTCCACTGGACTCTCCAGCATGCCGGCTGCTGTGTATATGGCGGAAATAGCGACTCCAAAACTAAGAGGATTGCTTATCACATGGAATGCACTTTGCTTTTCTCTTGGTATTGTTATCATTTACGCTCTTGGTTGGATAATGACGGTTTGGTATTATTCATGTGAATAGCTTTACACGCATTGTTTTAGGAGAACTGGGGATTGGTTGCCGCACTATCTGCCGCATTTCCGTGCGCTGGTCTGGCTATGGTAATGACTTACATGGTTGAATCACCATCGTGGTTGATCACCAAGCATCGTTATGAGGACGCAAAGCGTAAACTACGCAAGCTGTTCAACTCAAGGGAAGTAGACGAAGAATATGAAACGTTAATAAGGAACGTAGCTGGCACAAGAACTGAATGTGAAGATTACAGGTTCAGGTGGAGACATTTTTTAGAGCCTGTTTGCTACAAACCCTTAATTTTAATGTCGATGTTTTTCATATTTCAGCAATTTTCTGGTACATTCGTGATTCTATCTTATGCAATTGATATAGTGAATGAAGCAAAAATAAGTATAGATCTATATGGTGCAATTGTCCTAATCGCGGCAACACGGGCTGTTACTTCTGCATTTGTAAGCATCGCAAGTAAACGAGTTGGACGTCGTCCTCTTTCCCTTTGTTCCGGAATTGGAATGACCGTTAGCATGGTGCTGCTCTCCGGATATCTATTCTGTATTAAGCGTGGGATAATCACAGACGATCGGTTTGCTTGGGTGCCACTCACACTGTTGATGACCTACTTCTTCACTGCAACATTAGGTTTTCTAACTATGCCGTTTGCAATGTCTGCCGAAGTATTTCCGTCCAAAATTCGAGGGTTGGCAACTGGAATGGTAACCAGTATTGCGTACACTGCCAACTTTATACTGGTGAAACTCTATCCTGACATGTTACACGGAATGGGAATTTCCCCACTGTTCCTGTTTTATGGCGCAATGTCAGCTGTCGGCACTATTTTCGTAATGCTGCGATTACCAGAAACTAATGGAAAGACGTTGATGGAAATAGAGAGATATTTCAGGAATGAAAGCAGAAACAATGGAGAACTTGAAAGAGTACAGAGCACTTGTTTTATAAGTAACAACTCCAATTAATCCAATACAGGAGTAATATTTAATTTAATATGCATATACAAGTGTATAATGTGGCATAAGGAACTCTACAAAAAATTCCGTAACAGTTTTTTTGTGAGTTTTTTAGTTTTTGAGAAATTTTAAACTGAAAAGTTACTCTATTTTGTAACTAAATTTGCACTTTTCTCAGAAAGTAAGCCCCATAGCGAAAAATGTTAAATATAAAAAAGATGTGCCTTGATGAGCTGTACAAATAAGCTTCATTCATTTTTTTCTTCAGATTCAAAATAAAGGCACAAGAGGTAAATATAGTCGGAAAATCGGCAGTTTGATTAAAATTTGATATATTTGACCGCCCCTCCTAACCTTAAGCCACGGGATCTCGCTGGCAGACATGACTCTTTTTACTTCACTATGTATCAGGATACTTTAGACCAAAATTATTTATGCATCAAGGGCATTAAGGCGATATTTATGCCGAGGGATTGTAAGTCGCCCGAGGGTTGAATATCGAGTAATGCCTGAGGTGCATATAATATTTTATATTTCATCGTTCCAAATAATGCATTTCCAATATACAAATGTAATGATTATTGTTTGCCAACATTAAAGTGCTTCATACGAATCAAGTAGCATCTTTTTTTATTCCATAATATAACTCCTTCAATATATTTGACAGGACGTTTGAGACCATAATTTGATGACAATCCATTATGACCTCATATGACAGATATAATTGGCATATAAAGGGCAAATGAAAAATAAAAATAATTTTTAATTCAAAATAAGTGTCTAACGAAGTACCTAATAAAAGAAACATTTTGTGTACCTATTGTAATTAACGTTTGAAATTGACACGTGATTGTGACAAATATTCCCCGTACATCCTGGGAATTTTTTAACAGTATATTCAATATTGAAAAATCAAGGAATATATTATTATCGTGTATTCTCAGTATATTCATTGCTGAATATTCTTGGAATATGCCAAACCAACGTAGGTATATATTCAATATATTATTCATAGAACGTTATGGATATTTGTAATATTCGCACACGTACTAGCGTATTAGCATTGTATATACATCTTAATGGTATTAGCAGAAGATGCTAGGAATATCCAATGTTATCTGGGTCTGGGTCACTGTCAAGGATTGTTCGAGATCATGGAACTAAATACCTACTTTTAAAATGATGTTTTGTGAATTTTAGAAAATTATAATTTATATTACTTTCTTACTTAATTACGAAATAGTAATACTGATTGTGCTCAACTTTTAGCTTGTATAAATAAATATTTTATTATTTATTATATTATTTATTATCATTGTGTTCACTTTCATGGCTCCACATATTTTTCCAAAAATTTGTTAGGTCTGTTTTACTGGGGGGGTGTAACTTCATATCTTGTACTGGTTATTAACTTTTTATAAAATTGTTTTTCACTCTTGTTGAACATATTGTTGTCTGCTTTTATCTGGTTAGATTCTTTGTATCGAGTTAGACGTGAGGAATACACTGCTAGTTTCTGTTTGAGTGTGTCGTTTATTTCATAAATGTCCTCTGATGTTCCTTTCTTGATTTTTTCTATATGTTTTGTAATTTTCTTTGATCTGTTTCCTTTTTCATACTGAGTTATTCTTCCGATGTCTTTTCTTAATTTGTTTATTTTAGTCTCCATTCTCTGTTGCCATTTTGGTTTCTTTTGTTTGTTATTTGTTAGTTTAAGATTTACCGTTTGTTTCGTAAATTGCCCATTGCACGCTAGTACCGTTTTTGCAGCTGCGTAGATTACTAAATGTAGTTCTTCAAGTTTGCTTTGCATATTATTATTATAAATATGAACCGTTTATTTAAAAAAATATTTATTTCCTGATAAATTACTAAAACTGGTAGTGCAACAGTGCTATTAAAGAATGAGTTTGAAGAAGAGGGAAAGCAATTGCTTTTTTGTTGCTGGTGGACGACGAAAGGGAAGTAAGAAGAAAGAGAAAAAGTATTGGTCGAAACCGTGATATTTGAGAAGAAAATGAATCCACACACATCGATTTGTTAAAGGAGATAAATCAAACAAACCCTGACACCCGGGAAACATAGGACTACCCATTCTAAATTTCATCAATTACTTTCTACTAAAGCTATCTCTCTTTTGCACACCTTAAGCGTACTACCTCCACCTTTGTCATATTGTGTCAATCCCAATGTGAGAACTGAGCAGCATCTACATGCTCACATCTTGCTGTCACTGCATGTCAGTTCGCGCCAGGAATTTAGTACGATTTGATTTCTTCGCTCCGCGCCGCAACTGAAGCGCGCCTGACATGTTTAAGCCCTTCACGTGCGCGTTTGGATTTAACTGAAGGAGCGTCAGTCCAAAACTGACATAAAACTGCACGTGAAGGAGGGCCTTTATAGTAAATATGATATTATATGTAATTGCGAGTAGGTAATTGTATTCACAAAACTTTAAAAAAATATATACATGAGTGTTAAGGTAGTTACATTGCTTATAAGCTAAATTGAAATATACAATATAATTTATTCTCACACATCATTGTAATATCTACGTTTAAGAGTTCTGTATTTTTTCAGCATATACAAAGCTTCAATCTCTTTGACAATATATTCACCATGCCCAATTAGCTGCTTAATCTTCTCAGGATCTGAAATATCCTTATTTTTTAAGAAGGCCTTATGCAATCGAGTTCGGAATATATCAAAACCGGCAGGCCAATCTTTTCCAAGGTGTAATAACTAAACGTAGGTACTGAATTAGGAAAACCTGCACGTATTCGGGGGGTACTCACCGTTTTATATAAAGTGACAACCTGTTGCCGTTGAGACACTAAAACAAAAATGGCATAACCTCAAAAGTCAACATTAAAACAATATAATTTGTCTCACTTGCATTGGTATTTTCGATTATTATTATTTGCAAGCAAACTACAAAACCTCACATAATAATGAATTAGTCAAGAAAAATATTTATCAAAATTACATAATAAACAGTGGCGTCGAATTGTATGCAGAAAGTGTTTGTACATGATCTTTAATTCTAAGTACATTTAGACTATCAAAATGTGCGATTGTAGTAAATAAAACTAAATGTGTTACTTCTTAGTCTACAGATCAATCTGTAAGTAAAAAAAAACAATGTGATTGTACCTTAAAAGTCCCTTACAAAGTACCTGTGGTACGCCACTGGCAAAGTGTGCGCATGTGTGCTCTTTGCCGCAGTCGCATGTGCAGGCAAAATAACCTACCTTTTGGTTTACTTTCACATCAATGTGAAAATGTCGTTCCGTTTTCTCCATATAAAAATCTATCAGAAATATAACAGAATAAACTAATACAAGAATGGAGCCAAAAGCAAACGACGCCCATTTACGACAAATACTAAACAGTCCAGCACGTTTCACACCGGCTGTTCCCATTCCGGACTGGTCGAACAATGCTGCAACAACCTCGACCACCACAGCAGCTACAAATGCGGTTTGTATTAAACTCGGCGTTTTCCTTTGAAAGCTAATTAAATCGCTTTTCAGATGTCCTCAAAGTCCGCATCGAATATGACAGTATTAACACCAGGCGGTGTTGGTGATCCACATACTAACGTAACATTGCAGTAAGTTGCATCACTCCAATTCCCAATAATAAGTCTCACATTACAGAAACTGTGTCGCGACAATCGATTTGGGTTGCGAGTTAAACTTAATGAAAATAAACTCCCGCACACGAAATTCGGAATACAATCCCCTACGGTTTAACGGCGTAGTTATGCGCATAAGAGACCCACGTAGTACCGCTTTAATATTTCGATCTGGGAAAATAGTCTGCACGGGAGCGCGCAATGAGCATGACGCCTTGTTGGCTTCGAAAAAGTTTGCTAGAATAATCCAAAAGTTGGGTTTTAATGTATGCTGATGTAATTTAAATAGGAAGAAACCTCTTAATTTATTATTTTAGATCAAATTCATCAATTTTAGAGTACAAAACATTGTCGCGACGTGCGACTTGAGGTTTCCTATAAAACTAGAAAATTTGCACCACGTACATGGCCAGTTTAGTAGGTAGGTGTGAAAAGTGCAACTTGCTTGACAAACCAAGAAAATACAATAGAATCATTCACTTTAATTTTCTTAATTGTTGTGGTTTGCTAATTGTAAAACTTTTAGGTATGAACCAGAGTTATTCCCTGGTTTGATTTATCGCATGATTAAACCACGTATTGTATTACTCATATTTGTAAATGGGAAAATTGTTTTCACCGGAGGGAAGTCCAGGCAAGATATAAAAGATGCTTTAGACAATATGTATCCTATTTTAAGAAGCTTTAGGAAGAACTGAACTCCTCTGTTTTTACTTATATTATTTTATTGCATGAACTGAACTCCTCTGTTTTTACTTACATTATTTTATTGCATTTATTTGTTAAGATTATCATCTACTTAATGTTTATTGTAAACCTTTTTCTACAAGATTAAAGTTTTGTGTGTATCGGATTACTTAATTTTTAATTTTATCATTTTCATGCAAAATGTAAGATAATTGCTAAACAAAGTACCTGATTTGGTAGCGCCACTTACCATTTCAAAGGATCAAGACGGGCTCTTATGTACATCAGGTAGGCAACACACAATACACCCTCAATAATTAACTTTGATAAATTGGGAGCTACGTATAAGCATAAGGCGCATTAGAGGATACGCTCTTATAAGAACGAAACATCGCATATTCCCAATTATTTATCCTGGAGATAATATACAATACACAATATCGCACTAAATAGAAATTTTTGCAGAGGCAACATGTGAATAAAGTTCTCCGAAGTTTAATATCACATCATATAAGGCACTTTTTTACATTACAGGAAATTAATTAGGTATTTCACTTATTCTTAACCCAAGTTGGTATTTATTATATTAACCGTAAGGAAGCAAAAAGGGAATTACTAATATAAAAAAGTCATAAACGCGGTTAGAAATCCAATTTTATTTTAAGAGTAAAATAAATATTTATTCTGCAGTAGGTACGTACCTATGTATATTCGGGATGAAATATAAATATAAAAACTTCATATCTAAAATAATATATGTCTCATCTGGTGCTCCTCAAGGTGCACATTTAGCTCCACTATTATTCTTAATATTTATAAATGATATCAAATCAGTGTTTAAATCGTCCAAAATATTATTGTTCGCGGATGATATAAAAATATTCAGCCCAATAAAATCAATCAACGACTGTATCAATCTGCAATTGGATATCAACGCACTCAGCCTATGGTGTGAAACAAATCAGATGGAACTTAACCTCACTAAAAGCTTTAGTATAACTTTCCATCGTACTGTAAATCCTATTCAATTTACATATACCATAAATAATTGTGCGCTTGAAAGAAAATCTAGCGTTACTGATCTCGGGGTTATTTTCTCTTCTGATCTTTCGTATCAGAAACACATTGATTTTATTTGTAATAAAGCACTGAGACAACTTGGATTTATGCTGCGCTTATCAAAAAACTTTCGCAATCCCTTTATCCTTAAATTAATGTACCTGACTCTTGTTCGTTCCTCTCTCGAATATTGTTCCCAAGTTTGGTCTCCCTATTATTCCACTCCTATTTCAAAACTCGAAAGGGTGCAGCACAAATTTCTTCGTTTCTTCAGGTTTAGGTTACGTCTGAATTCATTTGCATACCATTCTTACCTCTCCGTTCTTAAGGTATTAAGCATTAATACTTTGCTTGCTCGTCGTCAGTTTCTCGATTTTGTCTTTTTTTATAAACTTCTAAATGGTTGTATTGACTCGTCATATTTGGTGGAATTAATAACATTTAATGTTCCTGGAAGATCACTTAGGTTTAGTCAATCGTTTAGCATAAAACTGTATAAAACGTTATATTTACAACACTCTCCTATTATAAGAATCATGCGTTTCGCAAACTCCTATCCGCAAATTGAAGTAATAGGTGTTAGTTTATCTGAACTTAAACATAATCTTAAGTTGCTACTAAATGATGTCGACAAATCATACTACCAATGTTAGTTTAGTTAGTTTACTACTGCTCACTATATTTATTTTTAATTTCTTTTTTCCAGTAATTTAAGCATAATTATCTTTTGTATATGTGAATTGTACACAAAACTTTAATTTTTTGGGGCCTCTCCCGTAAGACTGATAAATAAATAAATAAATAAATAAAAGTAAATGAAGCGGGTCATTGTGATAACCGAATGTTGTTGTTTAATGACAAAAAAGTCGGAGTGTTTATTGAATCAGAATTTATAAGGCTATAAATATGAGTGTAAATAGTGGGAATGGAGTATTCGTTAAGCGGCGTAACGTAATGCCAAATCTGCGCAAATCTCAAGCCAATCGGTCCATTTCGTGGATCCCGAAGATGGAAATTAAGCCAAGAACGAGCTATTATCCTCATCGAGCCACCGTCAAGTTGCGGACCAAAATTTTCGCATAATTTCCAAGCAAAAAAGTAAGAAAGTTGAAAATTTCCACGGCGAAACGTCCCTGGGGATTCTATAACCGGTCCGTGCAAACCACAGTTGGAGATATAATTTCTAGTTTGATTCAAAGCCATGACCAGAATGCATCAAAAACTCCTAAAATCTCTTATTTTAGGTGCAAGTCAGCAACAGAAACGATCATGCATTGAAATCAAATTGTGAAAGTCTTATATACCGTTTATTTAACAATCTTCCCCGAAAATCACAGAAAATTGTCCAAAAAACCTTTTTAAGTTGGCCAAACGAGCTTAGATATACCTACTTATTGATTTAATGTATAACAATAGATATAAACAATTTTTAAAGAAGGGAATTTTTAGATCAAATTTTTTCCGTAAACGAAAATTCAAAATAACAGTAGTGTACACCTGACCTTTAATATAGTTACTAGTCCAGGGAATAGAGGGTTTTAACTTGCAAATGAGAAGTAGTTCCGATTTCTTTTTCATGTCGTGGACAGTCATCTGGTGATTAATAATCTAAGTTTTCGACCTCCTTGTGCTTTTCTCGAACCACCCCCAAAACCCCTGAAATTTGGTTGGTTTCTTAGTTTTTCAATCATATTTTTTTAATGGTTCATTTCATTTTTAAAAATTCTGAAATTTCTATGTAGTTGTTTTAACCAAATTTTATACCTTATCTCTATAATTAAGACTTTTATGAGAAAATATCTTGAATTTATCGTGGTATAAATCCCCTTACCAAAGGGGATGCATAATAATAATGAAACTTGCAACCCTTGCTAGTGGGGATATTTGAATCACTGTGAGATTGTAGCGCTTTGTAATATATGTTTGAAATTAAAAAATTGTCTCACTTCAGTTTAGCTTCAAGCTTCAACCCCCCCCCCCCCCACGGTAGGAATAAATATTTAAACGCTCTTGTGGCGATTGATAAGTTAGTCAGGGACTGCAACACTTATTACATAATATATTTTCTATTTCCTCTTTAAATGTCTATTCCTACCGCGGGGGGGGGGGGGAGGGTGGAAGGATGAAGCTGATCTGAAGTGAGATTATTTTTTTGTTCCAAAAGTATATTAGAAAGCCCTACAATCTCACAATGATTCACTAGCAAGGGTTGAAAGTTGCAATATTATGCATCCTCTTTGGTGTTTGTGTACAATTTTATAGTGTACAATTTCTGATAACAATATTTTTTTGTAAAGTGAACCTATAAAAAGATATGATTGAAAAACTAAAAAACCAACCAAATTTCTTTGGTTTTAAGAGTGGTACGGGGGAAGCAAAAGGGGTGGGAGGTCGAAAACTTGGATTCTTAACCACCAGATATTCTTCCATGGCATGCAAAAAAATTGGAACTACTCGTTTTGCAGGAAATGGTCCATTTTCAGTCTCTATTTCCCGGACTATTGCACACGATAAGCTCGGTCAGGGGGGTCGAAGTGGTTAATACTATAAATAAAGTATCGTTTATATCAGCAAAGGGCTAAAAAATAATATAGTAAACCGGAAAGGCGCCACTTAATCTTTAGTAAATTTCAAAAGAAAAGAGAGAATACTTACCCAAAGGAGGAACAAGGTAGACTAAGAGATCCTTGTTCTGGTATGGATAAGCTACATTAATAAAATAATTGGAATAGTAGAACATAAACAATAATTATTGTGCTCACAATCGGGGGTAATTTAATAAATGATCACAAAATATTACAGATACAAAAGCACATGTAACTAAAGTAGTAATATACCACGTCATGTCGCAGATCTTAAGATGGCGGTCTAGTGATTTTCCAAGCGTGTGGCGTTCAAATTCGGTGAATCTTCTCTAAAAGGGCTAACAATAAGCAACGCGCACGCGGAAGAATTAAAGAAAGAGCAAGAGAAAAAATACAGAAAATTACACTCGACTGACATCTAATGGTAGAAAGAAACGTAGCGCGCCGAGAGAGATAGCGTGCCAGAGGGGTTTCTGTCATTATATTCAATTAATATATTCAAAAGATGTCAAAAACGCTGCTCTATGCTTATGCGAGAGTAGATCCTCCTTGTTGCAGTTACTCAATTTAGAACAGTGGCGACAACAGGGTATCTCATTTTGATTGGTCGCTGATTCCGGTCGCCATATTGGAGCTAAATTCCAAACTGGCCAATAGGAAGCCTTCCAAACGACGCGGTGCACTCCGTGCTATAATTATTAGTTATACTGTTTTGACAGTTCACGCTTCACGGCTTAATGTTACTAGTTTACACTTTGCTTCTTGAATTTGCTTTATTTTATGTTTTCCGTCTCCATTTTTATATAAACCCGTATTTTTCAGGAATCAAGACTGGAATGTAATAGGTAATTCGCTTAAAGTGTTTTAGATGTAAAACTGTACATAACCCTACGAGTGGTAATTGATGTAAAAATTGTTTCAGGAGCCCTAAATAATGAGTTTAGATAGAAAACTGGTTACAGAAGCAGCTTATACCAAATTTACCAGCAAACTAAATTGTGGTTATGGATAACGCAATTGTGATCATGAATACGCATGAATTGGTTTAAAGTTTAGCAATGATGATTGCTAAAGCACAGCGACTATTGCTTTTTTGTACTCCATTGACTAAATCAACGTGTTTTCTCTTCCATTTAATTATAGCACATTAAAGTAGTACTTATTTTTATCTTGAAGGAGAAACACCATAGAACAACAAACTTAGAATGGAAACTGTAATGTAATGTCATAGATATATAAATACCTAGATACAGCCATCCTTAACAAACGTACCTCGGTTTTTAAAAAACATATCAAAGAAATTTGTACATCTCTCCATTACTTTCTAACCAAGAAGAAACATGTTCTATCTCTTTTTATTGCATTAACCACTACGTCGTACGCGAATCGGACGCTTAAAACAAACTTAGCGCGTCCCATAAGTCATGTGACAGTTGACACATTTCACGATCGCGCGAAATCAAATCTAACTAAAAATATTCGCCCTAAACATGATGGACGGTTTTTTTCACTAAATATTATG